AGCATCAGAAGAAGTTGACAGAATCAAGGTTCAAGTTTTATTCAAACGTAAGGCCATTGGCCCATCAGTATACAATACATATTATGCATAAACCATGGACAATGTACAGAGAATAAAGACAATCATATTCCATTACAATAACCTTAATTTGTTTGCCTCATAGATGGATTTTCCTAGTATACACAATTCTTTAATAGTATGGACACTCAATAACTGAACGACTTTAAACACAGATGTTTTTTTTCAATAATAAACGAGATATGAGATTTTGGAATTTAGAACAGACCAATAACAAATTAAATTCGTCCTCTACTTCAGAAGGGGGAGTTACACTGTGTACAATATACCTTCTAACTTCTACAGCCAAAGAATGGGTAGATGTACGGATCCGAGTTAAACAAATGCGATATTTCTTTGGTGTATATTTTGTGAGGTAAAATTGTAATGATTCCCCAAAATCTATTATACGTTTATACAATAAACATTTTGGGGAGTTTTCCACTGTGGCCCTTAGGAATTGTATGCCTTGATCAAAAATTCTTTGTTTTATCAATGGTAATAACAAATTTAGCTGAGAAATGGATGGATTTAACCAAACATCACTAAGACCTAGATTATTTAATTCATCTCTTACTGCTATAGCCCAGTTGAAATCATTTCTACTACAATATTGTAATAAAAATCTATAGGAAGTTGATATAATACAATTTTTCAGATTTTAATATTTTAAACCAATATTTTATCATTCTAATTTTTCTCATCAAACTAGAGGTTCAAGATATACCATGTTGTTATTGGCCGATTTCTTCACTTTTAGTCATTTATTTCAAAAATGTAAATGTACATGTTCTATCTCTGGAGCTTTGTGCATACACCAAATTTCACTTGCATAGAAAAGGATACTGCTTACATATGTATCGAAAAGGTGGAGCATAGTTTTTACATTTAAGTTTAACGATGAACACTTTAAAAATAATGCAAACATTGTTTTTCGTCCTTGGCTAGCTAATTGTTTTTGGATAGAAGTGAATGTATTGTTCTAATTTAAGATAACACCTAGGTAAGGAAATTGATCCACACATTCAACTTTACTTCCTTTGTAATACTATTTTTGTTTTTTCAGCATTTACAGTCAAATTCCATTCAGTACAATAATTTCTAAATTATCAAGCATATCTTGGAGACCTTCTACAGGCTCGAAGAATAATACTATAGATCATCAGCATATAGCATCAGATATAAACTGAGTTCCTCATACCACGGAATTAGATTATCTATGTCCGTGCTCATACTCATAATTACCCTTGCAATTTTGTATAAAATATGATTCAAAATCATTTATACACAGAGAAAATAATATCGGTGACAAAGTTTAAAGGTGATAAATTCTACCCATGTGACATCGAAGTCAATGTGATTTATTTTAAACACTTTAATATAGTCGCCCATCAAAGCTGCATGTAATCCTTGTAAAAGGGGGAATAGCTCGCCTTTTTCGCATGTGTACAGTGGCACAATCAAGTGAATTCTTATAAATAAAGTTTATCTATTTTAAGCCTACATCTATAGTCAGTCATTTATAAACTAATACGAACTATTGACAGCAGGCATCAAAGTAAAACGTAATGGAAATAGTATCGATAAACAACACATGTACACATTCATGATTATATTAATTGTTATCTTGCTACAATGTACAAGTAAATTNCAGATATTGTTTCTAGCATAAAGATATATACTGTACCATATGTGATAAAGGTTGATATGTGTTCTATTTTTGCACGAGACATAGCAATGAATGGTTGAGACATATATATGTCAGACACATGGATGGATGCATATATATAGGTAATAAAATGTTAAAATAGACGGAAATGAGTATGTATGCTATTGTGGTTAAATATCATCGTGAGAATGTATGTACTCTATGACAAATGTGGACATAACAGATATAGGTTTATGTATGTATGTGCCTGTATACAAATGAGTGAACGTTTTGTTATTTATTGTACATGTACATTGCATTGATGAAAAATCTGAATAAAAAGATAATTAAAAAAAAAAAAAGTAATTGAAAAAAAAATAAAAAAATGTACAAGTAAATTATCCAGTTCTTATTAATCTGATGTCATATTTAAAGGAAAACGCTTGTACTACTGAATTTTCAAATATAAATAGATAACTGAACAAATGAAGGTAAGCCTAGATTAAACTAACATTTACTTAAATTATTGATTGATGACTGACGCTACTCTTTACAACACAGGTGCTGGACACAGTATATGATGTGAATATTATACCATATGATAGAAAAACACATCATACAATGTATTTATTATTGTGTCCAGCACCTCATGTGCTGCAAAACAATTAATTGCTAGCTGTTGCAAAGGTTGTAGTTGATTATTTTTTCAGACTTTCAGTGAATTTAGCACAGGTGTGTACGTATACGTACTAGTTTCACTTTTTACTTCGCTTCGTGCCCTGTTTACAACATATTAGTCCGTATTTTGATATCCGCTTTCCGGTTTCATCATTAGAATACCGGAAGTGGAGTAAACCAGTCGCACGTGTATGATTGTGTGGAAAAAAACATTGCAGAACATTGATAATATCAGCATAATGAGTACTAGATCACGTCAAACATTTACACCAGAATAACACGGGTAAGAATCAAGAGGCTATATCACGACGGGTTTTCTCTGTTGATTACTACCGAGTTGTATGTTTTGAAAATGGTCTACTGTAGACATTTAGCACACGTTAGCCTAGAACGAATATTCATACCCTGCCTACTCTCCGCTCCGGCAGACGACGACCATCTATCAGAAATCGTCCGTCCGTCGTCCAGAGCTACGTTATCGCAGCTAACGTTAGCCTACACACTGTACCGTCTAGGTCTTTCAACACACCTTTTTAGTTTAAACATATTTATTGTACAAATGGATTGGACAACAAGTTATTACAACTTAATAAAAGTCCTCTCCTAAATACATATGGTAAATACAATGTATATGTTTTTTGGAGAACGGGAGGAGGATAGGGTGGAGAAGGAAGGGTATGGGAGGGGGGGG